AGGGCACATATCTTGGTTGCAGTTTGTCCCCGACCCTGGTTGGGTTGTGCGGGTGGCAGCCACCCGATGTGTCCCTTTCACGTCAATGTTTCTCTCTCTCTTCCTCTCTCTTTCTCCCACTCTATCTGAACAAGAAATGGAAAATTGTCCTCTGGTGAGGATAAAAAAACAAAAAAACAAAAAGAACAAAAAACACACCTAATGTTATATTGACTTACAATATTATCTGAGTTATTTCTCTATCCTAGAAATGAAGAATGTGATTTTGAAGACGTCTGTGAGTGTGTGTATTTTTTAACTAAAAATTTTCAGTTACAGTTCACGTTCTATAGTATTTTGTATTAGTCTCAGGTGTACAGCATAGTGATTAGATCGTCATACACTTTAACTCGTGTTCCCTCTGAAGACAGTTCTTTTAAGGTTATTTTGAGGTATTTATAAATGTCTATTGTTGGATATTGAAAATGAAGACGAGCTGTACAGCAGCCTGGATGGTTAGAACTAGGCTCCAGTCAAGTGGTGTAGCCCGAGATAAGTCATTTTACCTCTTTGGGCCTTAGTTTGTCTATGAAATAAAGTAGTAGTTAGACTAAATTTTCTGATTTCTTTTTATTTCTGGTATAATCATGTGATTTTTAAGAGAAAAGAAATTTCATTTTGTAATATTTTAAAGAACCTAATACACTTGTGTTATTATAAAATTGAATAACAACTCATAAATGATAAAAATAAGTCCTGAATAAGTAAGACTGTAACAGAAGGTTTCTTAGTTTCTAATTTGTTCTTCTTGTAATAGGATCTAGTTGTATGCAATTTTCCCTAAATAATAATAAGAGAATGGCTCTCCTGACCTCCAGTTTCCCTGCTAGAATTCTCTCCATCAAAGTTCACTGAAACCTAAGCCCTGAGCTGAGACTGTCAAATCTTTTTTTTTTTTTTATCCTCACCTGAGGACATTTTTTTCCATTTTTTGTTCAGATAGAGTGGGAGGGAGAGAGAGGAAGAGAGAGAGAGAAACATCGACGTGAAAGGGACACATGGAGTGGCTGCCACCCGCATGACCAACCAGGGCCCGGGACAAACTGCAACTGAGGTATGCGCCCTTAGCTGGAACCAAACCCAGGTCTCTCTGGACTGCAGGCTGACGCTCTAACCGCTGAGCCAAACCGGCCAGGGCGAGACTGTCAAATCTTTAAGTATATATAGGATTTAGAGCAGATGGTCACAACCATTAAAGGCTAAATATGCCCTGGCTGGTTTGGCTCCTGTGTACCAGAGAGTCACAGGTTCGGTTCCCACTAGGGGCACGTACCAAAGGAAAAAAAAAAAGGCTAAATATTCTGTGTTCAAGCAAGTGCAGATCTTCATGGTGCATGGTACAGTTGGATGTTTGGAGTTATTGTTAGCTCTGGTCACTTTAATTAACCTTCATATTAAGCTGGGATGAATTTTATCATTATTTGTTAATTCATTTTATAGAACATTGCACACAGACCTTCGATGTTTACTTAGGTTGCTAATTTGCTAAGGGCAGTGTTGTACGGCTTTATGAGTATCCCATGACTGTTCATGGGGCTTCTAAAAATGAACTTTTCACCAGTGTGGATATTCAGTACACCTAATATTTGGAGCCTAATATTTGAGGTAAACATATGGATCACATTGGTAATATTGATTTTATTTTATTTAAAAACAGTTTTTTCTTCATTGATTTTAGAGAGAGAGGAAGGGAGAGGGAGAGAGAGACAGAAACATCAATGAGAGAGAATATCAACTGGCTGCCTCTTGCACACCTCCCACTGAGGATTGGGCCCACAACCTGGACATGTGCCCTGACTGATAATCGAACCAGCATCCTCTTGGTGCATGGATTGATGCTCAACCAGTGAGCCATACCAGCTGGGTAGTAATAGATTGATTTTAAATATATAAATATGTCTTAATATATCATGGCCACTACTAAATATGGAGCAATCAACCTGGGAAAATGTTGATGCTTTTAAAAATTTAGATTGCCCTAGCCATTTTGTCTCAATGGTTAGAGCGTCGGCCCACAGACGGGGAGTCCCGGGTTCGATTCCCACTCAGGGCACGTACCTTGGTTGCAGTTTGTCCCTGGCCCCAGTTGGGGTTGTGTGGGTGGCAGCCAATCTATGTGTCTCTCACGTCGATGTTTCTCTCTGCCTTCCTTCCTCTCTCCCTCCCACTCTGTCTGAAGATAAAAGCAAAAATATCTTCAGGTGAGGATATAAAAAAAAATTTATATTTAGTCCGGCCGGTATGGCTCAGTGGTTGAGCATCGACCCATGCACCAAGAGGTCACTAGTTCGATTTCCAGTCAGGATACATGCCCAGGTTGTGGGCCCGATCCCTAGTGGGGGACATGCAGGAGGCAGCCAATCGATGTTCCCTCTCATCGATGTTTTTATCTCTTTGCCTCTTCTTTCCTCTCTCTCTAAAATCAATAAAGGAAAAAAAAATTTTTTTTGAGTGTATATTTAAATATTGGCGAGGTAGGCATAATCTGTAATGGAAATGCAAGGCACTTTAAGAAATGCAGGGTTTAGCCCAGCTGGTGTGTCTCAGTGGATTGAGCATCGTCCCATGGATTGTGAGGTCCTTGTTGGATTCCTGGTCAGGGCACATGCTCAGGTTGTGGGCAGAATCCTCAATGTGGGTCATGCAGGAGGTGTTCAGTCAATGTTCTCTCTCATCAAGTCAATATTCTCTCTCATCAATGTTTCCATCTCTCCCTCTCCCTTCCTCTCTATTTAAATTGTAGACTTAAAAATGGTTAAATCAGCAAGTTTGATGTTATTATATTTCCCCCCACACACACTAAAAAACTCCAAAGAAAAAGAAATGTAAGATTTGCACCTATTTTTAAGAAAGCATCTTGCACTCATTTTCAAATCTTGTGTTTGATCCTGTTTTTTGTTTTTTTTTAAACCTATTTCGTGGTTACTTCATTCCCCACAAAGAGTTTCTTGGTGTGGGCTCCATGTGCTTGAAGTGGCCCTGGGGGGGTGTGGTTAGGTCACAATCCACTGGTTTTACTACAAGTAGGCTTGCTTCTTTCATTTGTGAAAAATTTTAAGGGTTGATGGGTGAGGGAGAGGGAGTTTAAAATGGAAAAGCAATGCATGTTGGAGTTCTCATTCCAACATAGAAAGCATGCTTTTGTGGCAAACCGAGAGGCTAGGAATCGAGGGTGATGAAATACAGGCCTTCTGGCCCTCCCGATTTCTGGTTGTGGGAATCTGTTCTGAATCCAACTGCAAGTGGAAAATCCATCTTGCAGCCAGGGAGGCCCTCCCGCCAATCCCCCAAATGTGCCGCTAAAAGTTTGGCCCTGTGAGGATGGAGCTGAGGCTGTCTTCCCAAGATCTGTGCAGCTGTCAAGGTGGCTGTGATGGGGCTATGACCAGCCTCTGCACTGAATTTTGGCAGTGACCTTGAGACTTGCCAGCTCACAGCAGCTGTACTGGTTCTTGCTCTACTGCCACTATTGCATGGCCAGAGAGCTACAGGGAGGGAGCTCAACTCCTCTGGCTCTGCAAGTTCCAGCCATGGTGCCAGCTCTCCTGTGTAACACCTACCACCCACTGGGCATGTGGGCAGGCCAGGTGTGAGTGTGGGTGGCTGCTTGTCCCACCTCTGGCTCAGGTCTCAATCCCTGGGAAGTGGGTAGCTCTCTGACCATCAGCCTGGCATAAAGACAGGGGAGAGATGCTCAGTAACAGTCGAAGATCTTGGGAGACAGAGGAGCCAAAGGTGCTTCTTTGTCCCACAGGTATGAGGGAGAGGTTTCTTTGGGAAATGAAGGTTACCAGAGATGTCCAGAGCAAGAAAGAGAGATCTTTTCTCCCCAGTGACACTCGGTGGCAAGTGTATTTTAAAAACTACTCCCTCCTCTCCTTGTCCTCATCCTGTCCTTTTCCTTTTAAGTGGCTTTTTTTTTTTTTAAATCTGCCTTTGTCATTGGACATTTATTGACAGAAATCAAATTGCTGTGTTTCTGGGCAAAGTGCCTGCTTGCTGCAAAGAGGTGTGGTTCTGGAGGAATGAGACACGCAGCCCAACAGCTGAGCCTACACTGTCCTCACATAACCTCCCTGCCTTAAATATCGCCAATATTTAGCCTTGCCTTATAAAGTAAAAATGCACAATACCTTCCAGAGTTTCAGCAAGCCCAAATGCCCCCCTCAGCTCAGTTATATCTTCTGTATGTTGGAGGCAGGGCTGCGCAGTCCCGTCCCCCCCTCCCCCCCCCCTACTGCAGACCTGCCCTCTGAGCCACCAAGAGGTTACTAATCAGGGAGACTCCGCCATCGATCCGATGGTGGAGACCTGGGGGATTTGTGTGCATTGTTTTTGCTGAAGCCTCCTGTGAATTCATTGCGACCAGATCCTCTGCAGCGAACTCCATGTCGCAGCTTGTGGCTGCCTGTGTCCTGTGGTGAGAGCAGAGCCGCACAGGAGATCCTTTGTCTAGGAAGGCTAGGCAGAGAAGATCACTTTGGAGTTGCTAAGCTCTGCATTGCCATTGGCTGCACTCTTTGTGGGGCTGTTTTTGCAAAAGGCATGCCCAGCACGTCTACAGTGCTGGCAGGCCAGGGCTGCCTTTAAACACCATGATAATAATACCAAAAAGCAGTTTGCAGAACTGTTCCACTGTAGAGGCTTCCTCTGCAGAAGCAAGCAAGATGGCTACCTCGTGGGCTTCGCTGTGAAGAATGGAGAGGCTAATTAAGACAGACTTTAAGGGGAAAAAAGGGTATTTCCCTGCTTCATCTTTATGCAAGGCTTTTTGTCAGTGACTTTTAAAGTATACATTTTACATGAGCTCTTTAGGTTCTGTTTAGCAAACATGTTGATGATTGTAAATGGTATAAATAGTTTTATAGGGAAATAGCCAAAAATTTTTTTGGGGTGGAAGTTAATTTTTTTTTCTTAAATGGAGGCTCATTTTGCAATTTGATTTTTTATTTTTTTTTTAGGTTATAAAGGAAAACAAGAGGCCCCAGAGGGAAAAGAAGCCCAAAGTTTTAAAGGTAATCAGCTATTGATTAAATCATATTTATTTTTTTTTCCATTTCATATAGTATTTTTCTGCCACTTAGGGGTAAATTTGAAGTACAGTAGATGTAAATTTTCCCAGATTTCAGTAAATGAATTTTCACTCAAGTAAAGTGTTTTCTCTGTCTTTTTTTTTTTGATGTGCTGCATAATGTGCATATTAGCATCCTTTCTTTTCAACTCCACACAAATCTGCAGAAGGAAAAGTTTATATGCAAAGTGTTGTGAATAAAATTTATTTCTCTTTGTAGCTCCCTTTGTAGCATCTGCATTTGTGGTGTTGCACCAGTGTGTAAACTTAAGCTCTTAAGAAGAAAGACACTATTTAAAGTTGACAGCTATGATCCATTATGATTTTAATAGACTTTCCATTAGATACTATTTTAAAATATGTGATTTTTTTCTTTCCGAAGGAAAAGGTCCTTAGAGATTTTAGTTCAACTTAAAATGTGTAAGCCATTGAGATGTTACAGCCAAATTATATTTGCTTAATCCCAAATTCTCATTATGTCTTTAATTTTGACATTCATAGAGCTGTAGGAATATGTATGTTTTCTTAAGTTTTAATAGTTTACTTAATGAGTATTTAGTAGTAACCTAATTCAGGTATAAGCTATCAATTCATGTTATCAGCTTTGCATAGTATTTAAAAGGGTTAACTTAAAAGCATATGGCATTGCTAAAAGTTGAGGCTAGCTTTAGTCTAGCAAATAAATGCTTATGTGTTAAAGGTTTCAAATGGTACATTGCTATTATGAATATAAGCAACCTGAGCAACATTTTTTCATACAAGAAGACATTAAGCAATAAAACTGCTTGTCTTTAAAATTATGTTGTGCACCTATCATGTGAAATATTTTAACCTAGTCATAGCTTTTCTTTTGCAAATAAAGTTTTACCATTCAGAGAACAACAACATGTTGCACTATGAATGTGGCAAATATTTATTTCACTTGTTTCCCAGTGTTCATCTTGAAAATATTATTGGCATAGAGAACCAAACCTTGCATTGCTTTCATATTTGTCTGATCACCTCGAGTTCTGTTTCCTGTGTGTACACAACATTGCTGTGCACATTTTTCATCAACCAACAAGTATTTATTTAATATTTACCACACAATCCTCAGTGTGCTAGGCATAGTAAATGAATGAAATTGCTTGGCACAAATTGTCACTTGGCCTGGACAAGTAGAATATTGCTTATTTTCAGGGTAAATTAAACCTTCTTCTTTTCTTCTTCTTCTTCTTCTGCATATTGAGGCACCAACCTCCTATTACCCCCCACCCCCAACTATAGAAGTATATCATAAAAAGCCCTACTTAGGTGTTTTGTTTTAAAATCTTCAAGGGAGAAATAGTTTTAGTGCTGCTGTTATAAATGGTTCTCAAATTTGTGGGAGGCAGGGATGAGGGCATAGGATAAAGTGATAGACTATATGGACAAACTAATATAGACTAAGCTTGGTAGCTTAAATCACCTGCCTTTGGTAGGAAGTAAAATTGGGTTTGGTAGTACTATTTAATTCTGTGTTTATTTTGTTAGTCTGTGGGTGTCCTGTCACCTGAAATACATTTCAGAAATAAATATACTGTGTGTTGCTTTTTTGAGTCATGGCAGTGGACTCAGACTTTTAAAAAAAATATGTGCCTGTGGGTAGATGAATTTCATGGGCCACAGCAAGCAAAACTGAATTCTTGCTCACTTTTCTCTCGTTATTGATTTTTGTACAAGTGTAGGGGGATGCTATAAAAGGAAAAAGTAATATATTTTTCTCCTGTGGCATTTTAAAATATTTTATTTAATGTTCTGTTGGGCATCATATTTTTTGTTCTTTTTTTTTTTTTTTTTTAATCCTTATCCGAGGACATTGTTTTCATTTATCTTCAGATACAGTGGGATTCGGGGGGGGGGGGGGGAGACACACACACTGATGTAAGAGAAACATATCAGCTGGTTGCCTCCCACACGACCCCATCCGGGGCTGGGGGCTAAACTGCAACTGAGGCATATGCCCTTAACCAGAATCGAACCCATGACTCTTTGGTCCAAGGGCCAACGCTCCAACTGCTGACCCAAACCAGCCAGGGCTGTTTTTGGTTTTTCTAAGAAAGCCTTTTTGCTCCACAGAGGACATGCTAAAATATTTTGAGATTTTTAGCTTGGTTGTGTAAAATACAGTTATAGCAAATGTTAAATACTATATAACCCTGAAGGAGATGTTAAGAAAACTAGTTCCACATTTTGGGAAGGGGAGTGGAGGAAGAGGACAACCTTTGGTGTAAGGTTTTATGGATGAGGACTTAATATACAGCTGGCTGCTACCCAGGGGATCAGTGATAGAATCTACAGGTTACAACTTGGTCTCTTTTCATAATTTTCTCTTTGCCTTTGGCATTGTACCAGAGAACTAGTCTGCTTACTTTGACTCTGGCTTCTTAGATCTTCAAATATCCTGGGTCCTTTGCTCTTTGTCAGGGTAGATGCTGTTGGTATCTTGACTAGCGTTCATCCTCATTATCTATTAGGAAGTAGTTGGATAGAAAGAGTCAGATTAAGGAAATTGGGTATAGAATTGGAGCTTGTCCCATCCACTCTGAGCCTCTAACTATAAATACTGAGTCCATTTGTGGGGCTGCAATTTTCTGGTTATCTCACGTCTCTCATCTTTGAACAGTTTATTGATAACGTATATGCATTCTATTGTAATTCAGAATTTAAAACTAAAAATAGAGATCTCAAATTCCTGACTAGAGAGAGACCATTTTCCTCCAGCTGAAATGATAGTTTCTAGGAATCAAGTGATTGTGGGGTCGGGGTGTCAGGTCAACACAAACTTCTGCCCCTACTAATGCTGTAGGACCAGGTTCCTGCTCAGGTCTTATTAATGATCACGAGAGTCATTTTCATATATAAATGGCAGCTTGTTAGCTGTGCTGTAATTCTTTCCATGACTTGTGAAAAAGGCAAAGGTGTGAAATAATTTCAAGCCTTGATTCTTGAAACTGGACTGTAAGTGACATCGTTTGGAACCTCACTTGGCAAAAACATTTGTGTAAATAATCTTTGCTTTGTGTGTTGGGTAGAAAGATACAGTCCCTTAGCAAAAGTCAATTTTGAGGTACTATCAAATCACTTTGGTTAGGTTGTTAGTCTTGGTCCCTGGAGAAAATTGGATTGCTCACTGAATTGGGGGTATTGAGGGAAATTTAATAAAGAGATTTTTTTTGAAAGGTATGGGCAGGCTTATGGAAAAATGATGGGTCTAATGACAACAGAGAGCTATTGTCACTCCTAGGCCCGAGGGGCAAGTGATTGGGAGCAGGAACCCAGGGAGAAGAGTTGTAGCTGCCTAGAGGGAGCAGAGGCTTTGGTTGTGGCCCTTTGGTAAAGGAATCTTTCTGCAAGAGAAGGTCATAGAGATGGGGAGAGGTATGGAAACAAATCCCCTGCCCTCAAGTTTCCTGCTGCTTTCATTGGTTGGTCCCAATCAGAAGTGAAAGGAAAAGGGAGTCCACTGATGAAATATGTCTTGGTCAGCCTTCTCTGGCATGTCAGAGGGTATAGAGAAGATGGAGTATGGTCCTGGTGGGGCAAACAACATATTCAGCATCACTGACCATGGGGCAGTATGGTAGAGTTAGAAATAGTACTAGAACCATGCTTATGTACAAAGGTAACATTAGGCGAGGCTGGGTGAAATATATAGAACACTCTACTATTTTTTCAACTAGTCTATTTAATTTAAAATCATTTGAAAATAAGACATGTGGGCATCCCTGAGAGGGGTCCCCATTTATACATTCTGTAATTAGAGACTCTTTCAGGCAGGTAAGGGACATTTTCTAGTTATTTGGTTATAAAATGCCTTCAAAATAGTACTTGGAAGACCAAGTGAACAAATATAGAGAAATGTCAGTGGATATTAAGCCAGGAAACTGTCTACAGATTATTTAGAAAAGACAAAATGAAAACAAAGTGATCTTCCTGCTAGCTTCTGCACTGGCAGCCCCGCTCTTCACTGTTTGCTTCCTTCCTTGATGGTGGTGATAAAGGAGAACAGGTGATGGTAGAGTGATGGGGGGGGGGGGGTATAAGGAAAAAATGTCACTAAAAGAGAACAGAAACCGGCATACTTATGTCTTTTTGAACTATGTTTAAAAGGAGAATCAAATCATACCTAATTACACTCATACATGGTCTTGATTTGCATGACATAGTGACATTCAAAATATTTAGTACAATCATTGCTAGACATAGTAAATGCTTGATAAGTGTCTTTTCCAAACATCATTATTATTAACATTCATTATATTTTAGCACACACTAAATGCTTGGGCTGCATTGATTTCTGCCTTCAAGGAGACTAAATGGTGCTTAGAAAAGGTGGGGAAAAAAAAATTAAAGACATTTGGATAAATTACAAATTGAGGTATGTTATATGCATTGAAGGAAACAAAAAAGTGCTCAGATAGAGAAAACACCATCTAGAAAAAGTTATCTGATATCTTTGAGAACTATTCCCTTCATTTATAAATTGTTATACACACTGATATAAAAGTACCAAATTAGATATCATATTTATATTGAAGTCCATTAGATTACCCAAAATGGAATATAGCAGTAAAGATTTTCTTCAGCACTATTATCTACAACATTGTTTCAGCCAGTAAAATAAATCATTGGTGAAATGATAAACTTTTCTTAATTCTGGTTATAATGTAACATTTCATGACTTATAGCAACATGTTGCAAGATTAAGTGATAGATCAAATACTGAGCTAGACCATTATTCAGGAAATAAACATGCCATTTTGAGAGTCCTTCATAGTCCTAGCCAATGCATCTCAGACTTCTTAATAAAACAGGCCAGTGGGGGAAGAACTTTAGAGTGGGTGATGAGAGTATCTACAACAGGATACCAATTTAGCATGTATAAGAAGAAGATAATCTTAAAACAGGATGCTCACATAAATT